TAGCACGCCTTTGTGTATTCGGTACACATAACGAATTCTGCTTAGTTGCTGTAGGTAAAGCTGCAGCATCTGATGGTTGGCCTGCTAACAGTCGTGGTTCCTTTCGTTGTTTCAGAAAAAGATAGTAAATGTGTGGCATTTCCTGTATCGCCTAAAGACCCAGCAAACCTCCAGTGCTGTGCTGTCACTCGTAGGGTTGTGTTAAGAGTAGATTCAGTGAGGGTTCCCGGGTGCAGTGAGCTTCGGAGGCTGAATACATGAAACCACACGAGGAGGCGATTATTATACAAAATGCCTTGCAGAGTTCGAGTTTAGTCTATTTTTATTTTGGCTTTTATATTAGAATAGCCACCGAGAGGGCTGGAGCCGCCTGTTGTCTTCTGGTGCGTTTCGCCCTCGCTTTTCTGTCACAGGAGGTAACAGTCTGTCTCTGCTACAATTTTGAGAGGACTGATTTGAGAAGCTTCAGCAGTCTCCAGGTCGTAGGCGCCTATTATGCGAAGACCGATAATATTGATCAAGAAACGCTTGATTTTGTTTTTTTTTTGTGCTTATTACTGTAATATTCTGCTTCTGTAGGATTTCGATATACGTCGTTGCGCGGTGATAAAATCGATGTGCTTTACAACAATATCAAACACGCATTCTTCCAGCCGTGCGATAATGAAATGATTATTTTGATACATTTCACTCTGAAGGTAAGCTGATAATCAGTAATTCAGTGAGCTTGTTTTACCGCTACGCACTTCGACGCCATCAGCAAACCGGTTTCCTTCTATCGCTGCTATAACCAAATCTACTCCGTCTGGTGCTCATCTTGGGGGTGATATTGGCTTGTTTGAATAATCTTGCCAAGCTTAAATATGCACAGTGCTGCACCGAAGTGAATAAAATTTGGCAGGAGCTACATGGAAATGAGGCTTTTAACTACTTACTGTGCGATTGTTTTGATGTGGATTGGCACTGATGCATGTTGGGGAGTCAAAATTACCACAAATTGCTTCTAAGGAGCCATCGGAGTTGCAGCTCATCGGCAGTTTTACCAGCCGATGACTGATGTTGGCAGTGCGCTGCCACATCCATATATTTTCATTTCTTTTAATCTGACATAAATGATGAAGCTTGGCTTCCTGGTTGACCGAATAGGCTAACAGTCAGTTACGCTTCCTACTAGTTATATTTTTTTAAAGTATTTCTCGGTCTCAGAGTGCAATCATTGGAGCATACTTTTTAGTAGCCGTTACATGTTGTCGTTTCTGGAATCGTTTTTTTTTTTCTTTTTTTTTACTACTATATATGTGTATATATATCTTTTGTTGGAATCTTGGCGGAGGAACTCACACAATTTTT